CCACACTCTTTTTCCTTCTTTGTCAAAATGTTGGCACCGGTCATGTTCTTCCATGATGCTTTATATATTCTAGAAGAATTCTCCGTCAGGTTCAGGGTATGCATCTGCTGTATCTTTGGGTTGAATCATTTGGAAAGAGAAGATGGTTTTATTGGATTTTCCGAGATGGGAATGATCAAAGCTTATGCAAACGGTTTTGTCACTTCCTTTGGTAAAACTTGGCTCACCAGATTGCTAAGATTCAGATTTGTTTCTTAATAAATTCATTCAAAGCGCCAAACAATTTTATGTCTTTCACATTGCCATAATTGGTAGGTAATTATAAAAATTGAATCTGAGATAGTTTTGACTAAATCTATTAACTCTATGACCTAAATTGCTCATGTACCGTAGAAGGTTGAACTAATGTGATGTTCTTTACTTTAATTCTGAAACTTCAACCCAAAGTGAGGGTCTTTGCAGGTATATTAGCTAGGAATATTTAAGAAAAATCATAAGATCATACTAAATGGAAAAATTGAGTCAATCGACTACGAAAAAAAAAAACTTAGGTTGGTTTGACTTGATTTGATTTTATGTTTATTTAAATAACAATATCAATATGTATAATTTTGTTTGGTATCAATAAAAAATAGTTGAACCAAAATCAAACTTCCAAACCTAACCGATAATGTGTGTGGGTTTTGAATCCTCTAATTCATTAACAACAAAAAAATACTAGGTCTATTTTGTGTTGATAATTTGAGACTCATAAATCAGCTAACATAAAAAGATGATTTGAAAATTTGGCCCAATAATTTTTCCTACGGTTAATGGTGCTTTATAAACCGTTAATGGTGCTTTGTGAACCGTTAACATTATTTTGTGAACCGCTAATGGTGCTAAAGCGCTTTGTAAATCGCTAACGATGCTTTACGAAGCACTAATGATGCTTTGTGAATTACTAATGGTGTTTTGTGAACCTTTAACAACATGAACTGCTACTGGCGCTAATGATGCTTTGAGAACGACACCTCGTGAACCGCTAACACCACTTTGTGAATCACTAATGGAGCTTTGTTAACTACTAATAGCGTGAACTGCTAGTGGCACTGACTGAGCCGTATCAACAACTAACTACACATTATGAACCGATAATGATGCTTTGTAGCGATTCTTACGACACTTCGAGAACCGCTAATAGTTCTTTGTGAATCTCTAGTGTTGCTTTGTACTAACAGTATGAACCGCTAACGCCTTTTTGTGAATCGCTATGGAAGCTTTGTTAATGGTGGAAACCGTTAATGGTGCAAATGTTGCTTTATGAGCCACTCACGGTACTTTATGAACTAATAATAACGATTTGTGAACCGCTAATAGTGCTTTGTGAATCACTAACAGTGCTTTGTGGACCACTAACAATGTTTTGTGACCTCTAATGGCATGAATGGTTTACGATGCTAACGGCATTTCAGAACCATTAATGGTGCTTCTTAAACACTAATGGTGCTTTTTGAACCGCTAAAGATAAAAGTTATCTTTCAGACGTGTTAAGTACGTAAAAACAGTCTTTAAGATGTGTTAAGTATGTAAAAACTGCCTTTGAGACGCGTTAAGTACGTAAAATTGTATTTATATCGTGTTAAGTACGTAAAAAATGCCTTTAATACGCGTTGAGTATTTAAAAACTACCTTTAAGACGTATTAAGTACGTAAACAATTATATTTAATACACATTATGCACGTAAAAATTGCATTTAAGACGTGTTAAGTATGAAAAAACTGCCTCTAAGACAAGTTATGTGCTTAAAAGTTACCTTTGAGATAACAAATGCATTTAATACGTGTTAAATTCATTAAAATTACCTTTAAGAGAGGTGGTTTCAAGCAATAAGAGCCTGGAAGAATAGTGGGGACACGAGTAATATGTGGACCTCGACAACGAATTGCATTCGGAAAGCTGCTAGAGAGGTGTTAGGGGTCTCGAAGGGTTACCCTAATAGATATAAAGGGGACTAGTGGTGGAATGGACAAGACCAGAAAAAAGTGAAAGCCATGAAAGTAGTATATTTGAAGCTAGTGGAAAGCAGAGACGGGGTGGAGAGGAATATGAATAGGGAATGGAATAAGAATGCTAAGAAGGAGGAAAAGTTTGCCGTTATAGAGGCTAAGAATGCATTGTTTGGATGGTTGTATGAAGAACCGCAGGCCAAAGGCGGGGACAAAAAGCAATACATACTAGCCAAGGTGAGCGAGAGGAGGATCGGGACCTAGACAAAGTGAAGTGCATCAAAGACGTAGATGGCAGACGCATTTTCATGAACTCTTGAATGACGAAGGGAATATGGACATCATGCCGGGGGACTTGGAGTTCTCCGAAAGTCACCGTGACTTTGGGTATTGCAGGCGTATCAAGGTCGAGAGGTTATGGTGTCTATGCACAAGATGAGCAGAGATAGAGCGACCGGGTCAGATGAAATCTTTGTCGAATTTTGGAAGATCGTAGACAAAGTAGGCTTACTAGGTTATTCATTGTCATTTATAAGAAGATGAAAAATCCTGAAGAGTGGAAGTGGAGTACTATGATTCCAGTAAGTTGGATATCCACAATTACAATAACTATAGGGGCATTAAGTTGCTAAGTCACATCATGAAAGTTTGGGATATGGTGGTGGAAGTTATAGTGAGAAGTAGTGTATTTATCTCCGAGAACCAGTTCAGGTTCATGCCGGGATGGCCGACTATAAAATCCATTCACCTTATTAGGATATTGGTGGAGCAGTATAGGGATAGGAAGAAGGACTTGCACATGGTGCTCATTTACCTAGAGAAAACTTATGACAAAGTTACAAGGGAGGTTCTTTGGAGGTGTTTGGAGCTGAGAGGTGTGCCCGTCACTTATACTAGGGTGATCCGGGATATGTACGATGGCGTTAAGATCCGGGTTATGATGGTGGGAGAAGACTTAGAACCCTTCCTCATCGGGATGGGCTTGTATCAGGGACCCACGTTTAGCCCGTTTTTCTTTGCCTTGGTGATGGATGTTCTGATGCGGCACATCCAGGAGGATGTGCCATGCTGCATTTCATTTGCAGATGATATATTACTAATTGACGAGATGTGAGGTGGTGAACATGAGGCTGGAGATTTGGAGACTAAACCTGGAGTCAAAAGGTTTCAAGATGAGCATTATTAAAACAGAGTACTTGGAATGCAAGTTCAGCGATGTGACTATTGATATGGGCGAGAAAGTAAGGCAGGATTCACAAGTCATCCCTAAGAAAGAGGGTTTCAAGTACCTAGGATCTATTATTTAAGGTAATGGTGAGATTGACGCGGATATCACACATTGTATTGGAGGATCGTAATGGATGAAATAAAGGCTCACTTTTAGGGTTTTTGTGATAAGAAGGTGCCACCAATACATAAGGATAAGTTCTATAGAGTGGTGGTTAGACCTACTATGCTATATGGGGCAGAGTGTTGGCCTGTTAAGAACACACATGTCCAAAAGATATAAGTAGCAAAAATAAGGATGCTGAGATGGATATATGGGCATACCATTAGATAAGATAAGGAATTTTGATATTCTGAAAAATGGTGGGAGTGGCATCGGTAGAGGACAAGACGAGGGAAGCTAGTTTGAGATGGTACATACATATGAAGAGGAGGTTCATAGATGCCATAGTGAGGAGGTGTGACAGGTTAGAACCAGTGTTGGGGGGAGGGCTGAAAAGAGGTAGGTCTAAGAAGTATTGGGGAGAGGCGATTAGGCATGACATGATGCTACTCCAGCTTGCTGAGCACATTACCCTTGATAAGAGGGTATGGAGGTTGAGAATTATGGTAGAAGGTTAGCAGTTAAGCGGGTGTATCTTCTTTTGTGATGATCTGATAGGTCATTTCGAGTTCTAGTCCTTACTTCCGTGTTTTGAGACCTTGATTAGCTTCGTTTAGTATTTCACGATTTGGGTGCATAGTCCGTATCTTTTTCCGAAAAGATATTATGTGAAAAATTGAACAAAACGTGAATTTTAGCTTTAAAAATGACTTGAGTTGACTACAGTCAACATTTTGGGTAAACGATCAGATCGGTATTTTAATAATCCTGGTGAGTCCGTATTGTAAGTTTGGAGTTGGGCGTATGCCCGGAATTGAGTTCAGAAGTCCCTAACTTGATTTTATAGGATTCGGATGCTCGATTGTGAATTTGGAAGTTCTTGATATGGATTCAGACGCTCAGTTGTGCATTTGATAGGATTCACATTGCATGTATGGTGTTCCGATGCAGATCTCACATTTTCAAGCCTCGCTTTTGCGAACAAGAGTTTGTATTTGCGAGCAGGGCCTGGGATTGGGTAACCTCGCGTTTTCAAGGAAATGATTCACAACCACGAACATCACATGATCACTTTTGCGATCACTTGATCACATTTGCAATGCCTGGCAAAATAGGACTTCTTCGCAATTGCGAAGATATTGGCCGCATTTGCGAAGGCTGGTTATTCACATGCGCGATCAATTTGCCGCATCTGCGACTTCTTTTCTTCTGAGATAGGGTTCGCATTGCGACCTTTGTCTCGCATTTGCGATGCTCGCAATTGCAAACAAGACATCGCAATTACTCATACTACACTTTTGTACTTCTGATGCAAATACTGGTATTGGTCCTAATAGTGCTTAGAGGTGTGTCGGCTCAGATCACTTTCATATGGAGACTCGAGAAGGATCTGCTGGCGTTCGCAGACCTTCAATTCCCCTTCCACACTACTAGAAATTCGACCTATCGGAACGGTTTCTATTGCAACGGCTATATAATCGTTGCTATGGAGATCTATTGCGACGCTTTTAACCGTTGCATTAGGGTGTGGTGCTTACAGAAACACTTTGGCAATTAAACGGTTACATTAGCGTGATAACCGTTGCAATAAGGGTACATCTGGGACGGTTGTTGGAAGCGTAGCAACAGATATATATCTTAGGTACGGTCGACCAAAAAAAATTATCTATTGTGACGGTTCCAATTTTCGTCCACTAGGATTTTATTTCCCTCTTAATGTTCGCTCTTTTTTAAGTTCTCCAACTCAAAGACCACTCCCCAATTTCTTAGACAACTCACACAAATCACAAAAAAGACGCTCGCCATCACTCATAGAAGAACTGTGTGATGATACAGTATGAAATTTATTCATCGATGCTATTGAAAGAGATCGAAAACGCAGAACTTAGATCTCTCTTGGAAGATGCAAGGTCTGAAAACGCTCTATTGCTTTTTCCCACTTGTTTCTCGTTTTGTTGTTAGTGTAATTAGCTAAATTCTCTTCTTGCTCTTCGATGGTGAAGTTCTCTGAAATTTTAGGATCCTTGGTTTGTTATTGTCTTTGTGTGCTTTATTTTTGGGGGTTTCGAAAATCTGGGGTTTCTTTATGCGATGCAGAATTTTGATTTATTTTATGAGCTTGTACTCAAGGTTTCTCTTGTAATAATACCTTGGTGGAAGCCCATCATCATCAAATTATTTATTTTTGCATGATGAGTGAAGTTTAATATTTGATATAACTTTTGTGATTTGAACATTTCCTAGTAGGATAACATCCGTTTGTGAAAATGCCTATAAGAGGATGTATTGCTCTATTGTACTTGAAAATACTTTTTTTTTTTGTATCCTTTTTTCTGCTTATTTGGCTTCAGATAGAAAGCTATATGAAAGAAACATTTGAATATATGAAGCTTGATTTAGAATAGTGATGGACCTCTTTTATTGTTTATATAGTATATGCGTGTATATATATTTTATAGTGATGATTCTCCAATAAAATGTAAAGCTATAAGTTGAACTTTTGAACTGAAAGTTCATCAATGAATGAAAAATCATAGTGAAGTGTGTTCCAATCTAACAGGAATGAATAACTTTTCTACCGAGGTACAAAAGAATAACTTTATTGTTCACTGTACTGTCACCCTATTACGTTTTAACACATTAACCATAATTTTATTCAAGCTAGTACAATTTGATAAAAGTGAAAATCTTTTTCCTTTATTTATTTGTTTATTTTTTTCGACAACCTGCTTTTCTTTTATTCTTTTCTTGAGGTTATTTAGGAGCTTATTATGCATCTCCTGATCTTTTAGGATATCTTATTAGGTTCCTCTTTAGTTATTAAGATTCTTATCTTATTTTCATCGAGTTTAGAGTTGTTATTGTTAAGCTCCTTAAATATTGGCATCTAGTTCTTCAGCAGAGAGATTTTTTCTTTGCAAACTAAGATTTTCTCCTTGTAACCATTTATGGATATGTGTTTTTATTGTTAGGATTTACCCCTTTCATTCTGTATCACGTTGTTATTGCAATGATTTTTGACATGTTAGCTATGGAACCCTTGATCCTGCTACTTTAAATCAAAGATATTTTTTAACGAATCTTGGCTCCTCGATCATGAAATTCATTCTTCTCGTGATAATTATATTTTGAGTTCAGAGAATTTATTTATATTGACGCTCTTTACACATTTGTCCATATTAATCGATAATGAGGTAAAAATTTAAAGGACACACATTCTTTGTATACCTGAATTTTGTGTGATATTGCTCTATTTATATATTTCTGGTGGTTTGGGTTGGGATAAAGGAAATTAGGTTGCACACTTATTTATTCTTTTATCACCATATATAGGACCTATCACAAGTTTCCTTTACTTTATCTTTTTTATTGTCGTTCTTCGCACATTCTCAAAACCTTTTAAATTTTACACTCTTATTCATGTATTACAGGTAGAATATACTTCAGGAGCTTGAAAAGCAAAAACCATCTGCTTTAAGAGTGGTAAGAGCATCAGCAAGAGTTTGTTCAACTAATTAATGAATCCGTTAATGGTTCATAAGAGTTTCTCAATTTTGGCATCCTATTTTTGACATGACTATTAAGGTATGGATTGAATGTTTGCCGTATTAAATAGAAAATAGTCTAAAAGTTGAGATAATAACTCTAAAAATTTTGAACTGTATCTCAAATAGAGTGGATTGCATGGTGCGTTTATGTTGCTAGTTCAATGAGCATTTAAGTTTAATGGAAAATAATGCAGAAATCATGTCATTTGAAACTAATGGTTGGATATGAATGTGCGAAGCTGGCATATATCTTAAGGTTAAATACTTATATGCTTATCATTTGTTAGTATATCTAATGGTTAAATACTTATATGCATATCATTTGTTAGTTATATTTCGAATCCCTTCAATTCCACTATCATTTAGCCTTCTGCATACATAATCAACTATGTATATACTAGGACAGAGTATAAGGTGAATATATGAGATTTCTCTTCGTTCTTATAGTAAGTTGAGTTGTTTCCATAATTTCCAAGATATTAACCTCCTTCTGGGTTGGTAGTGCACATTTTTGTAGAACATTTAAGCTAAATTTCCTTAATGTACATTTTACCTTACTAAGTAATATGTAATATGGAGAAGATCTTATTATTCTGCCTCTTTAATGTACATTCTGTTTAATGATGTGTTTTGGCATTAGTATTTTTGTATATATGTTGAGAATATATTCTTCTGTAAAAATTTGGTTGAATCATTTCTTGTCATCTTTTGTAGGTGAAGCAAATACACAAAGGATAGACAAAAGGATTGAAGAACTTGTATACGGCGAAATTGGAGGGTCCAATTTCTCGTTATTAAAGCATTTCTGAGGATCATCTCGAGGCCTCGAGGCTGCGAGGCTATGGTCGAGTTCCCTCCCTCAAGGTTCGTTGACGCCCGACTAATCACAATGTTTGCCGCGGTCATAATGGGAATGGAGAGTTCCCTAGGTATGCAACTAGTGTTGGCAGAGTGTAGTGTCATCTAGTTGTCCCATCCCCCTATCTTTGTAATTGATGCTATGTTGGGATTCCCCTCCTATATAAAGGGGATATTTGACGCTTTGTAGAGGCCTGTTGCTCCAATTACTCCACACGAAATATAGAAGAACATTCTCCTTTCTCTCTAACATATTCTCTTGATATTATTGCTCTCATTTATTGTGTTCATACTTGTTCGTCATTTATTGCTCATCATTGGCCGTAAAAAGCCTTCGTTGATTATCTTACAACTGTTAGCCCTACCCCGACTGCCCTTAACATCTCGAGCCCGAGCCGTGGAATCGACCTCGGGGTCCCGTATCGGTCAGCCCGAGGCCCGGATTGGCTAGCTCACCGGTTTGATTATAGCTTTATTTTAGCTCGCGTTTCGTCTCTAAACTTCATACACATAGCATCACCTGTGTAAACAACTAGCATAAAAATAGATCACGAATTTTTAGAGTCCGATTAACAAATTAAATTGTTATTACCATTTTTACGGAAAACAGTTTGGCGCCCACCGTGGGGCAAAAAATAATAGTGATTATTTTCTTGCTGGTTTCATCACATAACACAAGTTATCTTTCACACATTTTCTTGTCCAAGATCTTTGGTTTCAGGTTAAAATGTCTGATTCAGTAAACAACAATATTGAGAACCACGAAGAAAATGGTGTGGCTATTTCAGGTGTTAGTGAGCTGCCACAAAATCTTGAGAACGCGCTGGGACCGATTTCGGCGGACAGAATCTCATGCGACGCTCGACACATCGAAATAATCTCCCACACTAACTGGAGCATACACCAAGGCGACGAACAGGAAGCCCAAAAAACCCAGCTCAGGAAGAACGGAAAGTTAGCCTTCATGTTATTTTTGAAATGTTGCAGGCACAACAACTGGCTATTGCTCAGCTGCAAAGTCACCAGAAAACTCCTAGCACGATAGCACCGGGGGCAGCTCCTGCGGCCGAACAGGTACCGAAGAGATCAAGCAATAATGGGTCGATAGCCGATCCCACCATCATAAAGATGCTCGAAGACCTCACCACAAGGATCAAATCGGGAAAAAAGATGATAGAAGCCAACGATAAGAAGGTCGAGACTTACAACTCCAGGGTCGACCAAATTCCAGGACCGCCCCCGATTTTGAAGGGTGTGGACTCGAAGAAATTAGTACAGAAGCCGTTCCCACAGGAAGCGGCTCCGAAACCCATTCTGAAGAAGTTCAGAATGCCGGAGCTTCTGAAATACAACGGTACCTCGGACCTCAATGAACACGTTACCGCGTACACCTGTGCAGTAAAGGGCAACGACATGACGGACGACGAGAGCGAGTCCATCCTGCTGAAAAAATTTGGAGAAACACTTTCTAAAGGGGCGATGATGTGGTATCATAATATGGCCCCAAACTCTATAGACTTGTTTGCTATATTGGCGGATTCCTTCATAAAGGCGCATGCCGGGGCCATCAAGGTGGCCACTAGGAAATCCGACGTCTTCAAAATCAAGCAGAGGAAGAATGAAATGCTACGGGAATTCGTGTCTCGCTTTCAAATGGAAAGAATGGAACTACCACCGGTCTCCGATGACTGGGTGGTACAGGCCTTTACTCAAGGTCTGAATGGGCGAAGCTCGGTAGCTTCAAAGCAGTTGAAAGATAATCTGGTCGAATATCCTGTCGTGACCTGGTCTGACATCCATAACCGATATCAATCAAAAATTAGGGTCGAGAAGGACCAGCTAGGAGCCTTCTCAGGATTAGTATATCTTAGCAGGCTTTTGGCGAAGGAGCCAAAGCCAAATAAAGAAAGATATCAGCCATACACCGAGAATAGAAGGAACTCCCCGAGGCGCAATCCGCCTCGCAACGATCGACTGCTGAACCAAGGAAAGAATCGCCGGGGACTAATCAACAGAGCCAGGTTCAATAGAAACGCAGGGCCAACTGAGGCACCCCGCTTATCAGAATACAACTTCAACGTCGACGTATCGGACATCGTGTTCGCCATCGGTAAAATCAGGGACGCCAAATGGCCCAAGCCTGTACAGTCGGATCCTTCACAAAGGAACTACAACTTAGTATGGGAGTTTCACAACACACACGGACACAAAACCGAGGATTGCCGGCAACTCCGGGAGGAAGTGGCCCGGTTACTCGACAAAGGTCACCTTCGGGTATTCCTCTGCGACCGAGCTAAACATCAGTTCCGAGAAAGAGAAACAACCAAAAAGAACAAAGTGGACGAACCGTATCATGTCATCCACATGATCTTTTAGGACACGCCCTCGGTTGTATTCGAATAATGGACCGCATCGCGTTCACCAAACGAACACCGAGATCTAAAAGCGCCATCACCATTGAGGTATAATCATCTGGCTTTTTCATTTTATATTTCATGATAACTTTTGTGCAGGCCCTCGACCGAAGCAGTCAAAATTCTGACACTGCTCGAAGACCTTAGGGTTTCAAAGCGTTCGTTGCACTCTTTTCCTTCGACCAAGTTTTTATCCCGAAGAGGGTTTTTCCGACAAGGTTTTTAACGAGGCAACATCCAGGCGCTACCTAAGGAAGACTCAACAAGTATTCGACGCTTCCTCTGCAATCAACCCCGAATACTGTAGGGCATCCCCCAGGGTCCCAATAGTAAAAAGATGTATCAGGCCAAACGGTCGAACAAACCGTGCCTATATAGTCGGTCCCCCGACAACGAAACAATGTATACTTGTTCCGAGCAATCAATGAATACCTTTTGTCAAAGCATCTCATACTCCAAAGGAAACTCAGCATTTTCACCAAAACGATTCCTCCATAAAAAACGTCCCGAGTACTCTGAGACTAGCGTCAACAATTTGGCATCTGCATGACCACAGGGTCAGAGCTCCAAACTTATAAGCCCTCAACGAGGCACCATGAAAATCATGAAACACCTCCAAGGCCGAAAGTGCCCCGAATACTCGGAGACTGGCGTCAAAATCTAAAAAACGCACGACCTCAGGGTCGAGATCTAAAAAATTATAAGCCCTTAACGAGGCAATACAAAATCTACAAGTGGCGGCTTCCAAGCCAAGGTACCCTCGATGACTCGGGGACTGTCGCCAATCTTCATCATTAAAAAACTCGACGCCATAAGACCCCGAGCAGGCAGACTCGATGTCGTAAGACCTACATAAGGCAACAACAAAACCGTAAGAGCTCAAGCAAGGCATGAACATGTAAGGCCCCGTAAAAATTTGTGCTCAAAACCTAGTAGCTTGTAGTGTCAGGATCCGAATATGTGTTGGGAATGTGTAAAACTCTTCCGCGGTTCGGACCCATTGTACTGATCTAAGTATTTAAAAATTAAAGATCGAAGTTTTTTTCCAGAAAAGTGTTATTTTGCGGTCCAGAATGCGGTCACAAATCATGAATGCGGACCGCATTTCTGCCGCAGATTGAGTAAGTGGTTTGGTTAAAATTAAGGTCAAAATGCGGTCCACTATGCAACCGCATAACTGATACGCGGACCGTATTTCTATCGCAAAGTGAGTCAATGTGTCAGTCAAATTTGAGTCAATTATGCGGTGCATTATGCGACCGCAGATCGTGTATGCGGACCGCATTTCCGCCGCAAACCCAACCAGAAGGATCAGAGTTTTGGAGCACTTTTGCGGTCCATTATGCGGACCGCATTTCCACTCTGCGATCGCAAAGTGCGACCGCAAACCTGACTCGGGCTCCTATTTTTCTAAATTTTAAACCTGACCCCCCTTTTTAATAAAACACCCCAACCTCTCATTTTTACATGTTTTCTGAACAAAATAAGAGAAAGGAAGAAAGGGTTCTTGAGAGAGAAAGCTCATCTTCATCAATTTGATTCTTCAAAACCATCCGGGCCGGAAAATTTCAAGTAATTGTCTTCTTCTCCATTCTTGCTGGTAAAATCCCCAACCCTTTTTCATTGAATTTCAGTTGTAGACATAAAGGGGGATTCTCACGCATTGATTCTTGAAAACAAAGTTTAAACATACATGCATGTCTTTTAAAACGTGAAACCTAGTAAGTGAAATTGGGTAGAAGTAGAGGTTTGCAAAAGAAGGGTTGATAACCTAAAAATGTTCGGGTAGTAATTGTGAGCTTCAATTCTAAGAAATATGTGTTAACTTGTGCACTAGATTGACGTTGCTAGACCGTTTGGTGAATTGAAAGTAGAAGTTAAAAGGAAATTCGGCTCCAGGTATGTATGGCTAACTTTGACCTTTGTAAAATCACCTTGTTTGGTGTACGAATATTTGGTTTGTGATATCTACGTGGATTATGTGTGAAATTTTGTGATTGGTATGAATTGAGTGTTCGTGGTTAAGTGTCCCGATATAATGGTGTAAGTAATTGGCAATAAACCAAATGTGTGATTGTGAAAGTGTTATGTGGTAAGAGCTGAGCAATAAATGATAGAAGGAAATCGTAAATGATGCAATTGGAACAGCTGTGGTAATAACATATATGGCTTGTCGTGGGCAATTATCGTTGTGACATAAAATGCATATGAGTTATTGAATATGATGGAAATGGAATTGATGGTTATGGAAATTCTTTGTGAATTGTTGTTGTAGTTCTTGAGAATTGTTGTTGTTGTTGTTCTTTGTGAATTATTGTTATTGTTGTTGTGAAATGATATTCTGGACGGCCTGAAGCCATGTGATTGAATTGTGGACTATTGTTGTTGTGTGAATGTGATTGTCCGGTGGGATCGGGTTGCGCGCTGCAACACAAAATAATAAATTGTGGGTTGGGGTGATAAGGGTGGCCGAGGTAATAAGGGTGGCCAAGGTAATAAGGGTGGAAAAGTGATCGAAATCACTATTGAAATGAACGTATGTGAAAGTTGTGAAATCGTTGATGTAATGAAATGATGTTGGAAGAGGAAAAAGGAGAGATTGTGAAACTTGTTTGACTTTGGTTGTTCCTTTCATGTGCATTTGATTGTTGATTCTATTACTGTACATTACTTGTGTATTGTTTGAGTTTACTTGGGGTAAAGTTTGTTCATACATACCAGTACAATTCAAATGTACTGACGTCCCTTTTGCCGTGGGCGCTACATTCGTGTTATGATTGTAGGTAGATCTATAGAAGGTACTCCAGTCCATGGTCCGTAGCACTCCTTCACCTTC